GTGCCCATTATTAGGTACAGAGAGTGATTAATACAATGAATAATAACATAACTTTACAACTAGTTAAGCAAATGATAATGTAACCAAGCAAAATGCCAACTGGCCTCCACTCCACTTTGGAGCAATTTCTTAGGAACCTGCTTAATGGCAAACTGATGATGGCAACTGATGTTGTGGCAAAATCAGGTTCTACCTGTGTTTTCAAGAAGTGATGAGAAATTGTTACTTTTTAAAAACAAAGCATACATGATTTATTTTCATATATTATAGCTTGATTCCTGAATTAAGAATTGATTGACCAGAATGAATAATCTTTATGCCTCACCTTCAATATCTGAGGCAATGTAGATTGTAGGATTTTTTATCTCTAGATTCCTAGTATTAGCACTGTGCTGGGGACAGACATGTCCAAGAGTTTTTTATTGAATAGTTATTGCTGAATGAGATGGTAAGGGAAGATGCTATGAATTCTCTCAGTGGGTAGGCGAGAAAGATGAACTTAAAGAAAGACTGACTAGCATGAAGGCTCACAGATGTAAATGACAGAAGTAACTAGAACCTAGACTTGCTGACATTTTTCTACTTCACAGGGCTAGCCATATGACAAGGTATAACAGTATTTATAATAGTTAAAGGTTACCTGTTTTAACTCCAATTGAGTGAGATCCAGAAACGCTGAGCCCATAAAGTCATCCTGCAGTCCAAAATCATAGTCAAATACCTATAAAACAAAGAGACAAGGCATATTTCTAAATAATTTCAATAGAAGCTTTTAGGGAAAAATCTTGATTATAAAACATTGGTTGTTCATGTACCAAAACCAATGAAATTTCTTAATATTTGATTTAAAAAATTTGTTTGTATTTTGGAGTAAGAGTCTCATAAACATTCAAGCTGGGCACTGGTGGCTGATGCCTATAATTCTAGTACTTGGAAGACTGAGATCAGGATTGTAGCTAAGGCCAGATCAGGCAAATAGTTCATGAAACCCCATCTCCAAATTAACCAAAGTAAAATGGACTAAAGCTGTGGCTCAAGGCAGTAGAGCAACTGCTTTGCAAGTGTGAGAAGCTCTGAGTTCAAACCCCCAGTCCCACCAAAATACAAAAAAGTAAATTACATTTTTTTTACTTAATATGATTGATTTATATCAAATAGAATTTTAAGGAAGATGTAACAAAATAAAATAAAATGTAATAAATCTTCAAAAATGTAGGAAACACAAGTTTGGGGTATTTATTCTCATATTATAGAAAAGATGCTGGCATCAATGGAACCAAACTGAGTTATTATGGAATTCAACAAATATGTCCTCCCTATTGGTCTAGAGGTAGTGGGAATATAATTATACTTTCTTTATATATTTAGGTTGTTGAAGATAAATTCTGTCAAAAATAGTGCCATTTTAAACATACAAATAAGTGAAAGATATATATATATATATTATGATTAAAGTACTTTAAAAAAACTATATTAAGGTTAAATCAAATGAAGGTTTTATTTTTGCAAGCAATTACTGGGGATTATACTAATGTGGATAGCAACAAAAGGAAAAGAAAAGTAAGGTAGAGCAAATTTTCTTCCTTTCATCAACATTCTTTATTCAATATTTCTCTGTTTCTTGCATCATTCTCATTAATATTATGATAAAACAGACACAAACCTGTGTACATACACACAGTTTCAATGATGGGTGCGATAAGGACAAATAAAAATATGAGGGGTATTTTGGGAGCTACTTTACATAGGGAGTCCAAGAATGCCCTGAAGGAGGTATATTTGTGTACAGACTTGAATGATGGGAAAGATAAATTACATGCTAATATGGTGAAGAATACTTCAGTCAAAGGAAGCAGCAAACCCAGGAGAAAGATTGATGTGTTTCAGAATTAGCAAGAATCCAGCAGCACTGAGTCAAATTAAGAGAGATGGAGATTGAGAGAAGGTTGCAGGGACAGCTCAAAGCTAGGTCAGTTAGAACCATTTCCAAAAGAATCTATTTAAATGGGAACTGGCTAACTTCCATCCATTTATTAATTTTTGTATTCATCAATTCCCTTAGCCAATATTGATTAAGTAGTTAATCAATATTAGAAATGGCCAGGAAAAATGCTGGCGATTGAGTAAACAGTGATGAGCAAAAATAACATCATCAATGCTTATCATTTAGTGAGAGAGACAGATGTGAAACAAGGAAGTGTATAGATGAACACAATTACAAAGTATGGTAAAAGAACACAAAGAATAAAGAACAGAACGAATAAAAGGGATATCAGGGAAAGGTTTTAAGACGAAATACATGCTACTAGGTAAAGTTTAGTGCTGTGTTTCACAACCTTTAAAAAGAGAAAATAGGGCTGGCAGAATGACTGAAGCAATAGAGTGCCTGCCTAGAAAGCATGAGGCCCATAGTACCCCCAAAATAAAAGAGAAAATATTTGTTTTGAGCACTGGAATAAATGAGCATAAAGGGATAAGTTTGATTCCAAATGGTGAGCCAATCCACCAGACTTTCTAGGATGTGAGATCCAAGAGTCTGAGAGAATCAATAGCACAGCATTTCTATATTCAATTCTTAGCACAATAGTTAAAAAGCTCAATACAAAGAGTAAGTACAGTAACCCAGAAACAGTTATGTTTTCTTTCTCAAATGCAGGTGTGCTTCAATGAAAAAAAAACTTGAATATGCAAGAAATTGATTTTAAGATAAATACTTTGCATTACAAAAGAATTCTTAGATTTGAAGAGTCACAAGGGAATTTATTTAAGTAGTTAGCTTCCCTAATGCCTTTTATATCATTTGATTTACAAACAACATTTCAGGAGCACATTTATTATAGAAAGCTCAGCACTCATGCAATGAATATTCTCCTTGATCAGTTACACTTCTGAGTTGTAGTCATCTGCTCTGTGGTATATCACACGCACACACTGAAAATCTTAGGTGGCGGACATGTGTATACTTGCAGGTGGCTGCAGTAGTGTATTTGATAAGATAAAATTTACATCAAACATTAGAGAAATTTCTTGTGCACTCTCTTCTAATAATGTCATTTTCAAGGTTGAAATCTTAGGGAAAGATAAGTGACATATAATCATTGAGGACACCTGGAGTACATCCACACAGATGAGGTAGAAAGTGATGAACCCAGTGAATTGAACAGTATAGATGCTCTAGTTGGGTGATTCAACATCCAAACTCACTTCATCCTCAAGATGAGAGTCTTCCTACTGTTCTAATGCTAGATATTTACTTTAGTTCTCAATTCCAATTAATCAGCAAAGGCATACATATGGGAGAAACACCAGAATCTATTCATTAAGGAAATCATTAGTTACACTGCTTGCTTGCAAACTCTATAGCTATTTGTCAGGGGGAGCATTGCTCTAGGTGGATCTTCAAAAATATAGAAAAGTAAAGAGAGAAAAATAGGGAAAATAGGGAGTTTCTCCTGTTGCAAGAACAACAAACATAGTTAAGGCTTGTTAATGTTTCCTTAACATTTATTATATTTTATCCTCCTTTTTTGGTGGAACTGGGATTTGAACTCAGGGCTTCATGTTTGCAAAGCAGGCACTCTACCACTTGAGCCACACTTACATTTAAACACTTTATATAGATTTAAACTTTTAATTTTCATGACCCAGTTTGTTTCTATTTTTCAGATAAAGAATCTGAAGCTTACAAAGTTTATGTTATTCATCCTCAAATCCTTGGATTAAGATGAGGCAAGACTCAAATATTGTATTAGACTTCAGAAACAGAGCCTATTTAAATTTAACACCCACTCTGGGAAAAGCAATGGGAATTCAAACGTGAATGATTTGCATGAGATCCTTGTTTTCATGGAGGCTTCATTCCATGAACTAGAAACATTAGGTATCATTAGGTGGAAGTTACTTTGGCCTGGTAATAATTTTGTTCATTTTCAAGTGAATTTAAAACAAGAAATTATTATTATCTTGATTCAGTTATCTATTCAATTGCTTGAGGAGGGCGTCAGTGAATGGGCTTTTAGATATAAATCATAGAAAATTCAACTCACTGCTTTTAACATGAATGGGAATTTGTTGTTCAAACCACTAAATGGTAGAAGCTAAATAATTTTGTATTATGAACACTCAAATTAATTTAAGTTCAGTGCTGTGACTCATGTCTATAAATGTCTGTAATCCTAGCCACTCAGGAGGTAGAGATTGGGAGGTTCAAAATTTAAGGCTAGCCTGGGCAAAAAGTTCACGAGATCCTATTTCAGCCAATAAAAAAGTTGGATGTGGCGGTATGTGCCTGTTACTCCTGCTATATTGGAAGCGTAAATAGGAGCACTGTGATTCACGCTGGCCTGGGCCATAAACATGAGATCCTACCCAAAACATAGCTGAAGCAAAAAGGGCTTTGGGAATGGCTCAAGTGGTAGAGCAACTACCTCACAAGTACAAGGCTCTGAGTTCAAATCCCGGTCCCACTAAAGAAAAAAAGCTACTAAAGAACAAAATCCAAAGACAATCTTTGGGTTCTCTTTCTCAGCTTCTTTAATTTTAGCAGTGTATATCATTAAGGAAACCTTTCAACCTGCATGCAGTGTTCCAATATACACACTGTAAATGGAGATGGTGACACACACATATATATGTATTATGTATTTACACGCCACATCACACACACATATTTTAGATATGTAATATGCGTGTATACACTATCTATACTCTCTTTCAAATCAGAACACATTTACTTTCCATCATTCTTTCCTGTGTACTTGAGATTCTGTTTTGTTTGCTTCTTTGGTTTGAGCCTAGTAAGATATTCCTTTTGAAATACGGGTTTTGACAATTGAATTTCTACATAGATGAATACTCATTCTTGAGCACAGAGACTAGCAAAGGGGCTAGCTAATATCTAATGTAATTTTGATAAGTTCATTTGTGACCCTTTGTAGACTGGGATCCATATAATTTTTTGTTAAGTAACATTCCATTAAAGAGAGTCACAGCAGAAATAATTAAAAATAAACCCCTTTCCTTCATGACTTTTCAGTGACATTAATGAGACCAAACAGTCCATTGCTGTCTGTATTAACACTTGCTTTCCTTTTCTACCATTTTCTTCACAAACATAGTTGCTCTAGCTCATCTCTCCTGACTGCCCCCTTAGAAGGGAAGCTTCCTTTATAGCCCATTTGTCTTTTATAATTCCTTTTATCCTCTATCTCAGCTCCTTATGATGAGGTAATTTCTTTTTCCTCATATGGATATTTCTTTCTCTCTAGAGATAAGGAGCAAAAGAACTCTCTGACCATGAAGGACTTCCCCATGGGTGGGATGGGTTGTTTATGAACACTTACATTAATAATTATTGTGCCGTCATGATATCTTAAGAGACAGTTTGCTAAGTCTATTTAATTGATTTCCTTTAGCAATGTCCCCTTAAAACAACTGATTATGCCAATATAGGTCTATTCTCCCCATATAGGCGTCTAGAAAAATATGAATTATGCACTTAAAAGTTTCTCTTTTCATCAATGTTATAAAATGTGTTATTAGTATTTCAATAACATCTTCATTATTTATTTTTCCTTTCTTTAAGGGAGGGAAACAAATATGGGAAATACAATGAAGATTTAAGGGGAAGGAAGTTGCCCATAGATTGTTGAAAGAATGACCATACGATCTTTTGAGCTCATGTGCCAGTAGTGACAACTTAAAGAAATGGGTGGGACATGTCCTGCTGTGGTTAAAGTAGAGAAAAGTTTGGACACTGAATGGATATTTGGAATCTAGCAATAAAATAGTTTATGTGTCTAGACATAAGAATTAAAGAGAAGTTGGCTATGGAAACAAAACAAAGAAATAGGGTATTAATAAGCACTTAGATTGTAATTCCTTAGGAACTTCCATAAGTTTTTCATCTTTCTTTTAATTATATCAAATGATAGAAAAGAACCCTTCCCTTTTAAATTTTTGGTAATATACTAAATAAAGATTTTTTTCTTCTCTGTTATTTTCACCCTTCTCATTTCCCAAATATAGGATTTTGTTTGCAAACAGGAATGGTTCATCTCAAATAATAATTTATTCTCACTTCCTTTGATCAGGTCTTTATACAAAATAAGCTGTTCAAAATGATTTGACTTTATGGAATAAACAATTTAAGAGTTTATGCAGCAGGATTCTTTTTCCTATGGCAGGTTTCTTTCCTATTGCTTTCCTTTCTGTTGCTGATTTCTTGGTAGAAGCAGCCTTTTCTTTCTCACCCATGGCTTCTTTACTCAATCAAGAGCCTCTTTCCTTTTTTTCCCTACTACAGGTTTCTCTTGCCTCTAACCGTGTCTCTTCTGATTTGGCCTCTAGCACTGCTGTGAAGAACGGTGTTCTGGTGTGTGGTCTTTGCATACAGGTTTAGCTTCAACGTGATTCTCAGGATTGTCAGTGGATTCTTCTTTAAGACTGGGATGAGTCCTCTTGCGTGCAGCTCAGAAGGCTCTTTAGATCTCTGGGCTTTTCAAAATTCTATTAAGGGCTGTATTGATAATCATGTGCCCAGGAACATTGTAGCTACTCTTCAGGGAAGCAGCTTTTATTCCAAGCTATATAATTCATTTAATTTCCAGAAAGTACTTTCAGTCCAAATGCAGAAATCCCCCATGACCACCAGGAGCAGGTTGGAAATATTCAGCTTTCTTACATTAAACAGAGTAGCTCCATAAATATTTCTGAAGGCATTGATAATACCATTAGAGGTGACACAGGGTCCCCTGAGCTGAATATGATGATGGCCCTTGCCAGTTCTTGTTCACAGAGAGGCACAGACCTTTTTGAAGTCATTCCAAGCCTTAAGTTTCTTAAGAAGCAAACAGCCTCCTTGGTCTTCCTGCAGCTTTCAACTTCATCTTTCATTACCAAGTGAGTTTCAGGAACATTCTCAGTATCTTTAGATATGGTAAGTCCTGGTAAGTCCAAAGTAACCAGGGCAGAGCAGATGGCATATCATTTTTGGGTTGACAACTACCAGCGGTGCTAGATTCTCGGAGCAGACATGCTGCCTTCTCAACACGTATTTCCAAAAGTGCCCTGGCATAACAGTGAATCTCACCACCTCAAACTAGGAAATGAAATCACAGTGCTGCCAGAACCTTAAGACTCAGCACTGGTCTAATGCCCTATCGATTCATTGATAGCATAGGTCCTTCTGTTGCTTATGTGCAAGTCGGTGTGAATAATGTTCACAATATCTGGTTGAATGGAAGCCTTGAATACAGCAGGCAAGTGACAGATGACTCCCCTTTTTAGAAGTGTTAACCATATTAATGGAGGAGACAATGCTATGGCAGAAAGAAGAAAAAGTCATGCTCCTCTCAATCTGGAAGCTCCTACAGGAAGGATTAAATAACGTAATTTTTTAAATGGAAATGTTAGTTTCTGCGTAAACTTTCCTTATTGGTAGATTATTCAGAGACTTGCTTTTATATGCTCCCAAAGTGCACTAAATCAGTTGACAGCATTAGGTACTCCATACTTCCTCAAAATGACAGGCAATAGAACTGTCCTGAAGAAAAATGCTCTTTCTGGCTTCTCCTTCCTCTATTTCGTGTCTATCATCATCAATAGATTAGACTTGTGAGTACAGAATACATTCCTGGTGAAAAAAACTCAGCAGACAGAGAGATATGGATAAAAAAATAAGGATTTCTATGTCAGATTCCATTAGGGAAAAACAAACAAATGCTCACCTTTATATACAATGGCTCCCTAAGACGATCAATCAGGATGCAAGCTTTTTCCTCCCATACAGGATTGAGGTTCTTGTGTATTATTTTACTTCTAAAAACTTCTTTTCTTCCAATTTTAAACTTCACATATGGATCACTAGTCCCTGTTAAACAGATAGACATTGGTCCACATTAATCACGCCTTTCCATGGAAGGAAGATAATTGCTCATTGAGACATCAGAAACAATTCAAAGGAGGAAACTTAATTGGGACTTATGTGAGAAAATAATGGTTGTACATTTCCTAAATCTTTCTTTATGTATTGAGTTAAAAAAAAAAACATCGTCGTCATCACTGTTATATTCTGATATTAATTCTATAACCTGTCTTGATATTAAAAAAAAACTTGATTGCATGTAAAAAATTTAGCTCCAGTTATAAATCATAGGACTTAATCTGACATTTCATTTGATAGCATCAGATCAACTATAAAAAGGATGATCAATGATATTGACCTATTTAACTAATTTAAAGATATATGTGCTGCTGAAGTTTTCTACTAGTCTAATGGGCTTAGGGAAAGGTGAGTTCTCCTTGGCTTACATATTATTTCTTGCTTGGATTTTTCAATCTTAGAATGTTAGGAAGGGATGGAAGTCTCAGGAGAAGGTACTATTAGGCAGTATTATGGTTTGAATATGAAGTGTTCCAAAAAAGGCTCATGTGTTGAAGGCTTGGTCCCCAGATGGTGGCACTATTGAGAGATGACTTGATCATGAGGGCTAACTTGTTGATTTGTTAATTCACTGATGAATTCATACTAAATTAACTTCAGGAGGTGGGGCGTGGTTGGAGGAAGTGGGTGTGTCATTGAAGGTTATATCTTGTCCCTGGTCTCTTTCTATCTCTTTGCTTTCTGGCAGTTAGGAGATGTGTAGCTTTCCTCTGCCCTTCCAACAGGATGTTTCTGCTTTGTCACAGGCCTAAGATCAATGGAGAGCCAGCTGACAACCTTTGAAAACAGAAGCCAAAATAAATCTTTACTCCCTTGAAGTACTTTTCTTAATAATGAAAAATGACTAAGACAGGGTGTAGGAGCAAATATTTTTAAATGATCTGGATACTTTGTACTATGCCTTGACCACTGTCAAGTTCTCTATGATGATAAAGAAAATCAGAGCTGTCAAGCCAATTGCTTATGGATACAAAGCTAGTAAGAGATGGGCTCAGTGTTCTAACGAGGCTGCAGGATTCTGATTGACTGTACTTTTTTCCATTCTGCCTGCAAGAAAGAAAGTCCTTCACATATTTACATACATACTATACTCTTTGTCACTTGGGCATGAGACTGGCAAATAAAACTAACCCTGACTTAATTGTTTATGCAGTTATTAAAGGTTCCTAGGTCTAGATTCTGCATATGAGAGGAAACATGATCTCTCTCATATGCAGAATCTAGACCTTAAAATAAATGATATGAGTGAACAACAGAGGACTGTTTGGGGTTGAGAACCAGCAAGAGTCGGGAGGATGAGAGGAAAGTGTGAAGTAGAAGTGAATTTGATTGGTGTACTTCATATGCATATATAAAAACACAATGATAAAAACTGTTAAAATTGTTTAAAAAGGTGAGGAGAGGAATAAGGAAGAGTAATAGAGGTACTAAATTTGATCACAGTACATTTTACACATCTATGGAAATATCACAGTGAAACTCCTTTGTACAATTAATATACACTAATGTAGATGTAGAAGATTCCTGGAGAAGTAAACCAGTGACATCTCAAGTAAATTGTTCAGTGTGTAATGCTCTTCATCATCAGAAAATACTTCTTTATATAAGATCCACCTCCCTTGTGACATAACTTGCTTTAATTCTTCCTATTTTGATCAAATTGAAGCTTCACTTGATAACTACTGTCTATATGTTTGAAAGAAAAATGTGAGTGGGGGTATGAAAACATTAAAGCACCATGTGAGTATGAGGCATAACAGTTATGAAGCTGATATACCCAAACTCACCTCCTCTATCCTTTCTCAATATTCTACTCACCTCGATGATACATAAACTCCTGTGCTATATAAGGATTGCCTTACTTGATTTGCTTTTCCTTATATAACCACTTGTAGACTCTCTCAAAACTTTCCACATTTCCCTCCAAAAGTATAATCCTTGTTTTTGTATGGCTGGGAATAATAACATAACGATCCTACTTTCCCATTGGGAAACTACATTTAATTTAGACAGTTTGTTTTTATTATAAAAGCATAAACTTATTCATGAATGTAAATGTGAGCTAGTACATGGTAAACTTTTATAATACATTGTTTAGAGGAGTCAATGCAACCAAAATACTTAACAGTTAAGATGGTTCTTTTTTTTTAACAGTGTTCCCATCTTTAGGCTGAGGAACCTAGAAGGTAAGGGTGTTGTAGCACATATTTTGAAAAATATTAAAATCATGAACCCATTTGAGTTTTCTCAGTTATGCCCTAGGTCAAGCTATTGTCATTGTTTGGAAAATCATCTATGTAATTACAAACACCTGCTAAGATATATTAATCTCCATAAGATCAGAGCTTTATTGCATTACTGTTTTTATATTTTTAGTACTTTGCACAGAATCAGACACATTATAGGGCCCCAATAAATATTTGGTGAACAAATTAATAAATGAATAACTTAATGACATGAGGCCAAGGAAGTAGTCTGTGAAAATTGATTGATGTAAATTAAAATAAAGTTAAGGAATCTGTGTTTTAAGCTAGTTTCCACAGCTCAATGTCTCTAGTGTTCCCAAGGATAACTTTATGGTATCATCTTTCAGAGAACTCCAAAGTATCACATCCTCTCCTATGCACAGACAAAACCTTTGCCCTCAAAGTAACATCTGAGCGAGACTGAGAACAAGGAAAGGCTTCTGAGTGTCTAAAGCAGATGTCTCAAAGAATATGTGATAATTTCTTGCCCTTTTCTTAAGTGTCACTTTTTACTTTGATTCTACAAAATTTCAACAAATACGGTTAACAGATTTTCAGAATAGAGCATACTAGGACATTAGATGGCAAGAGGAAGCTGATGAGAATGCAATAAAAATATGAGATTAAGGAAGAATATTTTAAAATTAAAAGAGAAGTTACAATAATTCTAAGAGTTTTCCTTTCTAGAGCATTTTTGGAATGGGAGCAAATGTTTTTAAGAGGTGAGATACTTGGGGTTTATAGGTGACAGATGAAAGCAAAAATGGACACTAAGAATAAAAACAGAACGATGTGAGTACAAACAAATAGTTGGATGGGCTAGAATAGAGATCTTGGAAACAGGCTAATGGGAACATTTTATTTGATGAAGTTTATAACACACACATACATATAATACACACAAATATGGCAAGGAGGAACTGTTAAATAGGTGAAGCCAGAAACCCACCTTGTGCCATATGCAAAGATGGACACCTAACTCAAATAGCTAAATGTGAATATAAATATACAAAGTTAATAGAACATGTAGGACTGAAATAAGGGAATATTTATTAAATAAGCAAAAACGTAAATGTGCCAATCAATGCAGAGGGAGAGAGAGAGAGATTGATCTTGTGCATAAGTTCAAGTGAGGATACCATGGCAAAGTTAAACAACAGATGGCACACTGGAAATATTTGCAGTGCCTGAAACACACAGAAGATTAATAGCTATACATAAGAACATTTGAAAATCAATTTTAAAAAGACAGGAATTCCAATAGGGAAATGGCTAAGCTTTATGAGTTGGCAATTCACCAGAGGGAAAGCCCAAATAACAAACAAAAAAGCAAATGCAGAAATTACCAAAAACAGTAGTAATCATAGAAATACAAATAAATAAAACAATGAGAAATGACTTTTCAGTTACCAGAGCAAAAATTAGAAAACTGGACTTTGTAAACATGGATCATTTTGTAAGCCAGCTCCCATCTTTTGAATAACTTTCCTGCCTCCCCAAACTTGGGGTCAGTACTGGTTTTCCCAGTCTTCCTTGCAGCTGTGGCTCAGGCTGTACTCAGTAACACAAGATTTAACCGCTCCAGTTATTGTTGTTCTGTTACAAACCACCCTGAATCTTAGTGGTGTAAAACAATTCTTTGAATTCAAGGATTCTGTGGTACAGGGATTTTGACCTGACAAGGTAGGATATCTAATGTCAGTTCCAATAAGTCTGGGCTTCAGCTGGCAAGATCAAACTGTCTAGAATGTTTGCATTTGCTATGGCTTGAGTATGGTTTGTTCCTCCCAAAACTTAGGTCAGAGTTTACTCCCCATTATGAGGTGTTAAGAGAGTAGAAACAATCCAGCTACAGTATACAGAGGTGGGGCTTTTGGAAGGTAATTAGAATTAGAAACGGTCATCAGAGTGGGTCCCCATGATTGAATACTGGTGGGTTTTTAAGAGAAAGGCCTGAGGACATGCATCTGGGCTCCCCATCTCTTGCCATGTGAAGCTCTGTGCCACCTCAGGACAGTGCTAGCAAGGCCATTACCAAATGCAGGTCCTTGACTTTGGACCTCTGGGCCCAAGAGGCAAAACAACTAGAATATGTCTTACCTGTCTGTAGTATCGTGTTATTAGCAATAGAAAATGAACTAATGCAGCACTCATATGCTGGCTGCAGCTGGTATGGTCTCTCCATGTGCTCTTTTTGTGTAGACTACTTTGGCTTGATCACAGCATGGCAGCTGCATTCCAAGACCAAACATTGCAAGGTAGCAAGGGGAGAGTGTATGAAATTTTAATGATCTAACCATTTTAATGATATACTCCAAACAATAGCACGTAAATATACTCTACTTGTCAAGAAAATTACAAAGACCTATTTAGGTTGAAGGGAACATCACTAATCACCAGGAAAATGCAGATCAAACTCACAATGAGCTATCACCTCAACACAGTAAGAATGGCTATTATCAAAAAGACAAAAAATAGTAAGTGTTAGGGAGGATGTGCTGAAAGGGAAACTCTTGCACATTGTTGGTGGTAATGTAAATTAATACAGTAATCATGGGAAAAAGTATGGAGATTCCCCCAAAACTAAAAATAGAACTACCATATGATCTAGCAATTCTGTTACTGGATATATATCCAAAGGAAATGAAATAGGTATGTTGAAGAGACATCTGCTCTCCTCAC